ATACTTCGAATTACAGGACAGGATCCGGTACATCCAGACTCTGAAAACGTGGACACAAAACAAGGTAAGACTTTCTAAATCTTTAAGCACTGTACAGGGCTGGAGGCATATGTACCGGCACGTCAAACAATGCTCCAGCACTGACTGGAGCTCCACTGGAGCCTTAAGTACTCCTGGCATCAATTAAGGAAACTGACCTCAGCTGCAGCTGCTCATCAGCACCGCCCCTGCCTTCAGGAACCTGGAGGAAGGAAAATGTCAAAACCCTACAGTTACACTGTGGAGAAGAACTATCTTCCTAAGGCGACACAGAGTGATGGATCCTGGCAAATGGAGGGAGTAATTTTATTCACCACCAGGTGCAATGGTGGAGCTGGAGAGTGGCCAATGGTGCCCTTAGCCCCCATAGATTAATCTTTGGCAACCCCAATCATTTGAGTAAACTATACTTTTAAGTAATACAAAATCTAGAAATCATAGTTTCTTCAAATGATTGGGTTAGCCAGTTTACATATATATGGTTGTGGCCATCTTGGATTTTGACTTTGTAACCCAATTTTCAAAGCAGCCTTTCTTATGCCTACATGTAACCACAATACATAAATGAAAGTTGGTACCTCACTGTTTTAAGCTATGCTCACAACACGCATGGACGGACAGATGGATCGCAAATCCAATTCCTTTTCTTCACTCCATGTTAGAAGACAAAAAGTCCAAATCTCTGTCAATTCTATAAATGCTGACCTAGGATTTGGTGTATTAGTAGCTGAGAGTACTTGTCACTGTGTATTCTGAACACATATTTTAAATATTCACAAAGTAATCCTTGAATGTGCAGCTATAACTCGTCAACTCAAATCAAGATGGCCACTTCAGCTAATCCACAATAACATAGACTGCTGCCACTCAGTGGTAGTAGCTGAGAGTCATTAAACACAGCTGAACCTGCAATGACTTGTAACAAGTCACTGTTCAACCAAAACGACTGGAAGACCACAACTCTGACACGAGATGCAGCGGGCGACATGCATTCCTTCTTTTTCTGGTGACTGTAGCTGTGTGTTTGGTGAGTTTAGCTACTGTCATTCCCTCAGTGTGTCTTCAACTGATTGTCAGCTGAAGCAGGACAGCACCCTGCTGTAAAGCTTCTCCTCATTCTGATGGTCTCTGTCAGTGAGAGGCTGCCAGCTTCCAGGAGTAAACAGAGACCAGCCTGCTCTGCCTCCTGCTGGCGTCTGAGGAGAATCCAAGAGGAGCAGAGACAGGAAACTCTGGACCTGCTCAGAGGAAACCGTCTGCTCTCCTGACAGGTTTTTACTCCTCCAGCTCATCACACGAGTATTTGCTGGTGTCTGAGGGGAGGAGGGGGTTAAAAGGTCACCAATCAGAAGACTGAGAGTTCACAGCTGGGCTCATTTTTAAACACAACACTCATCGAGTATGAGTTGTAAATGACTTTCAGCTACTACCACACCAGAGACTAGCTAAATGTCTATCAAACTGGCTGAACTACAGCTGTTGTACTGTTGGCTGATGTTAGCTTTGGCGGACATATTTAATCAGGTGGACACCAAAGGTTTGTCAGTTGTACGATTTTTTTTCTGAAAGCTTCATTAAAATTTGTGATTTATGAATTATTTTGCTAACGGACACGGCTGACACCAAAAGTTGATAGAAAAGTTTTTTGCGCAGTCAGTCAGGCCTCACAGCATAAGTTGGGGATCAGTCTCAGCTACTACCACACCAAACCAAAGCTCAGTATCTTTAAACTGAACTGAGTTGGACGTGATTTTGTGTTTGGCTGTGGCGGCCATCTTGAATTTAATTGACTCTGGAAGTTATTGATCATTTATAGATTTTTATCTACTAATTAATTTCTGCTAGTGTTTCATTAAAATCTATCTGGTGGTTCATGAGATATTTTGCTAACACACACTGCACAGATCACAGGACCTGATTAGAGTCGTTTCTCTCCAGAAACTCCGCACACGTGTGTTGGCGCGTGCGTGTTCATGTGGACTTTGTCGGTGACGTAAGGGCCCCTGAGCTCCCCTCTCTCGCGCTCGCGCGCGCGCGCAGGCTCTCCGGCAGTTGGGCGCAGCAGCAGCAGACGTGCGGTGCTCCTCTCGGTGCGCAGAGAGGAGCAGGAGGAGCTCCGGATGAAGCGCTCCTCTCTCTCTGCCTCTCCTCCTCCCGGGCTCTGGAGGCTGTGAGGACAGGCGGCTCCTCTCAGGCGCGTGTGGAGATTTAAAAAGTGAATTCTCTGTTTCTGTGACTGCATGGATGTAAATGAGGCGGTGCGCAGCGGCTGAGGGGGAGGGCTGGACGCCCCCTGATGATCTGCAGCTGATGGTGTCTGATCCGGGAGAAGATATTGAATAAAACGGGCTGAGCTGTGAAGCGAAGGAGGGGGCGCCGGGGGAGAAGGGGGCTGTCGCACCAGTTCTCTTCTGAATATGTGCCAAGTCCACCAGCTGCACTGGATCTAATTATTTTTGTATTTTTTCTTCATTTTCTTCCCAGAGACTAATATTGTTTTTATTCTTTCAAAGGCTTTTTTATGTTTTGAATCCAAACTGAAGGTCAGCGAGAGATTTGCGCCATCTCTGTGCGTCACTCTCTCATTTTAACGCCAAAAGACCGGCGGAGCGCCTGTTCTCTGTGCGCCTCTGTGTGTGTGTGTGTGCGTGTGTGCGAGCATTCCCTCTTCCTCGCTCTCTTCTGTTCATGAGAACTCGCTCCTTCCTTCTCCCCCCTCTGAGGTTGAAGTTGATGCTGGGTCTATGTTTCAGCGCCCCTTCCTGGCTGTAAAAATGCTGAGCGGTGTCCTGTTTCTGAGCGTCCTCACGGTCACCAGCCTGTCACCGTCCGAAACAGAGAGCCGCAAAACTTCAGCCCTCAAAGACATCTGCAAGATGCGCTGCGCCTGCGAGGACCGCGAAAACCTCCTGAACATAAACTGTGAGAACAAGGGGTTCACCACGGTCAGCCAGTTCCAGGCGCCGCTCAACAAAATGTCCCAGTTCTTTCTGAACGGAAACTTCCTGTCGAGGCTCGGCGCCAACGAGTTTGTCAGTTATGGCAACGTCACCTCCTTGCACCTGGGGAATAATGGCTTGCAGGAGATTCGATCTGGAGCTTTCAGTGGACTCCACTTGCTAAAGAGGCTCCATTTGAACAACAACAACCTGGAGGTGATCAAAGAGGACACATTCGCAGGACTGGAGAGTTTGGAGTATCTACAAGCGGACTACAACTACATCAGCACCATTGAGCCGGGCGCCTTCAGCAAGCTGAACAAGCTCAAAGTGTTGATCCTCAATGACAACCTGCTGCTGGCTTTGCCTCCTAACATTTTTCGCTTTGTGCTCCTCACCCACCTGGATTTACGCGGCAACCGGCTAAAGATGATGCCTTTCGCTGGAGTGTTGGAGCACATTGGTGGCATTATGGAGATCCAGCTGGAGGAGAACCCTTGGAACTGCACCTGCGACTTGATCCCCCTCAAATCCTGGCTGGATACCATCTCCGTGTTTGTGGGGGACATTGTGTGTGAGACGCCGTTTAGACTGCACGGCAAAGACATCACTCAGCTCATAAAACAGGACCTGTGTCCACGCAGGAACGCTGGGGAACGTGCTCAGCCAGCCTCTGACTCCAGCTTCCAAGGGGCGCCACACCCAACGCACCACGCCAACGTCATCACCCCCACACGCTCCCCAAAAGCCTCAAGGCCACCCAAAATGCGCTACAGGCCCACCCCTCGAATCTCAAAGGACAGACACGTGTTTGGACCCATAATGGTTTACCAAACCCGTTCCCCTGTTCCCATGTTGTGTCCCAGTGTCTGTGTTTGCACATCTCAAAACCCAGAGAGTGGTCTGAACATCAACTGTCAGGAGAGGAAGCTACAGAACATCAGTGAGCTAAACCCTAAGCCCTCCTACCCAAGGAAGCTCCACCTCACAGGAAACTACCTACAAATGATTTACAGAATGGATTTGACCGAGTACAGCACCCTGGAGTTGCTCCACTTGGGAAATAACCGGATTGCAGTAATACAAGAGGGTTCCTTTGAGAACCTGACCAACCTTCGACGGCTTTACCTGAACGGGAACTACATAGAGTCTCTCTCTCAATCCCTGTTTGCAGGTCTGCAGTCCCTCCAGTACCTTTATCTGGAATACAACATCATTAAGGAGATTTTACCACAAACCTTCAACTCTCTGCACAACCTCCAGCTGCTGTTCCTCAACAACAACTTGTTGAGATCTCTCCCTGACAATGTTTTTGGGGGCACCATGCTCACTCGACTCAACCTGAGGAACAATCACTTTTCATACCTCCCGGTTCAGGGAGTTCTGGACCAGCTGTCTGCGTTCATACAGATCGACCTGCAGGAAAACCCTTGGGACTGCACCTGCGACATTGTGGCACTCAAAAATTGGATGGAGCTGTCCAGCACCAGCGTGGTAGTGAACGAAATCACCTGCGATTCACCGTCGAAGCACGCAGGCAGGCTGCTGCGCTCACTCCGCAACGAGGCCATATGTCCCGAGCCGAGCGAGCCACCCCCACCCCGGTACACACCCTCAACAAAAGCCCCAACCCTAATGAGCCCAACCACTGAAGCCACCACCCCATCTTCTCCTTCTGCTGCTTCTTCCATTAGCTCAGTGAATCCCACGGAGTCCCGCCTCCAGACTCCAGAGCTTCATCCGGAGGTCCCCCTCTCCGTCCTCATTCTGGGCCTTCTAGTTGTTTTCATCCTGTCAGTCTGCTTTGGTGCAGGACTCTTTGTTTTTGTTCTGAAGCGGCGCAAAGGAGTGGAACACGTTCCCACGACCGCCAACAATTTAGACCTCAACTCTTTCCAACTGCAGTATGGTTCCTACACTCCAGAACCGACCCAAAACAAAAGCTCTGAAAGCCACGTTTACAACTACATCCCCCCGCCAGTGGGCTCCATGTGCCAAAACCCAATCTACATGCAGAAGGACGGTGAACAAGTGGCATATTACCGCAACCTAAAGGAGCTCAGCTTCAGGCCCCTGGACTCTAAGAAGGACGACGTCCTGACTCGCAGCCCAGGGGCCTACACCATCAGCGCCGTGGATTTTATGGATAAATCACCAACAATCTGCAGTCTGACCACCCCGGAACCACCGGAAATGCTGTATCAGAACTTGGGAGAGAGGCCCAGCAAGGAGCTCCCGACAGCTGCCGGTGCACCTCCGTACACTTACAACTTTTGCACACTGCCCAAGAGGCCCTGCATCGTGCCGCCCTATGGGGCTGCCACAGCCCGGCGGTACGTGGCCAACCAGGACAGGCTGAACAAAACCGTGCTGTACGGTACCCCACGGAAATACTTTGGGCCGGAATACACCTTTAAAAACAATGAACACCCGTCACTGCTGCTCCCCGGGAAGGTAAAACCAGAACCAGACTACCTGGAGGTTCTGGAGAAACAGACTGCAATGAGCCAGCTGTAAGACAGCTCCTGGTTTTATCTCATGGTTCCTGTCAGAACCGCCCCCACCAGATCTCCATTGTTCCTGTGAACCGAACCGCTCGATGGCCTGTTGTTTCCTCTTCATTTCCCTCTTTGTTCCTTTTCAAAGATGTATAAAAAGAATATAAGAAGTATATTATTATCTAGTTCTATTTTTCCCTTCTAAAAAAAAAGTATAAATTATTTCTTTGACGAGGTTTTTTTTTTTTTGAAGTATAAAGATCCTGCAGACTCTGATGACAGCAGGTGTGTGAGGAGCAGGGACTGTGTGCGATCGCAGACGTTGTGTTTGATTATTCCTGTGAACAGAGGCGCTCTTCACTGTTTCTAACAGAGGAAACGATGCAGATTGATACTCCTGTACATAAACACCCTACAGTTAAACGGTGAGTGTTCAAACATAACAAAAAGCTTTTTCAGTAACTCAACAAGCGGCAAATCTTACTATTAATACTCAGAAAGTGCCTTTGCACTCATCTATTTTATTAACAATGCTCTCTGCAATGTTTTTTTTTTTTTTTAAGTGATGTATTTTAATGAATCAAATCTTTATGTAAAATAGATATATTTGACCGTTAAAAACAAACAAAGAGTAAAACATGAACTTGAGACCGGGTGTGAAATGATATCTACTCATTCATTATATGGAAAAGTCATTTTTTTTTCTTCTGCTTTGGTTCTGAAGTGAAATGTACACCTTGCAGAGGATGTTGTATGCTGTGGAGGAGCAATAGTGCGGCAAGACTGCGCCATTAAATTTTCACTGAAGCACTTTGTCAACATCCGGAGCGCCGGCTTGTTTTTTTTTTTTTTTTTGAGTCTGCAGTTTTTGACGTGGACGTGGGCAGCGTCGGGTGCATGTGTGAATATAGAGCTGGTGAAGCCTCTGACAGTTCAGATGCTCTTCATATTTCTTCTGAGTGGTAGATGCTGCTGGTTCCTTGTGTCTGTGATCTGACACAACATTTCTGTTCTCACACTAATTACACCACTTGAATGCCTTTGTGAGCCGGGAAGTGATTGTATTGCTAAAAGCTGCTGATTGGGCTCTGCGTCAAACCGAATGAGGGAAAGGAGTTTCTTTTCTTTACATGAGCTCACACCATCATTAGTGCAGCAGTTGATGTTAGCGAGCGGTGCCTTCGTGGAAGAGCGTTGAATTGAAACATGGCGGAGCTGAATATGGCGGCCGGCTGTTAAATATTTCCTGTTTTCAGAGGCTGTATGGGTCGAGATGACGCTGACAGATTCATATTCAAGGGTTAAAAAGGTTGTTTCTGGTGTGTGATCCTGTCAAACATGTGTTAATAAAACCGTATGAGGCGTGACGTCATTCTGAGAGCAAAAAGTACCATGTACGAAGGACGTCTTTGTTCGAGCTAAGCTAATGGCTAGCCAACAATTTATATAAAATTTAAGGCTTACTTGTCTTTATAAATGAAAATGTTTGGACATAAATACACATTTTTTTTAAAAATAGGTGGTATAGATAATGTTTCCCAGTTAAATACAATGTGGTGAGGAAGAAAAATAAATAATATTAATACAAACAATAATAATAATAATAATAATAATACACTGAATCCAATGTAGTTCAACAGAGTATTAGGGCCACGCTAAGAAAAAATTTTCATTACGAGAAAAAAGTAATAAAATTACGAGAAAAAAGTCCTATGACAATAAAGTCATAATATTTTCAGAACTCCAACATGAAAAAGCCGTCTTACAACTGGGGTAAAATGATGAATGTTGAGCAACTTGTTAAGTTATACTTTGGTATTGGTTTTACAAGAAAGGAAATAGTTAATCTGTTAGCACATCAGCCTCAGATTATTATCAGTATCAGGACTTTGAAACAATTGTGCAAACAACTGTTTTGAAGAAAGAACCACACGGATTTGGAAGTTGTTAATTCTTTTTGTGGAAGAGGAGCTTTCTGGCGGCAGCACGGTGGCGCAACTGGTAGAGCTGCTGCCTCTCAGCGAGCAGGTCCTTGGTTCAAACCCCGGTCCAGGGGCCTTTCTGGGTGGAGTTTGCATGTTCTCTCCGTGCATGTGTGGGTTTTCTCCGGGTACTCCGGTTTCCTCCCACAGACCAAAAACATGCATGTTAGGCTGATTGGTAACTCTAAATTGTCCCTAGGTGTGAGTGAGAGAGTGAATGGTTGTTTGTGTCGTTTGGCTCTATGTGGCCCTGTGATGGACTTGCGACCCATCCAGGGTGTACCCCACCCCTCGCACAGTGATTGCTGGACATGGGCACCAGCGACCCCCGTGACCCAAAATGGAATAAGCAGGTAAAGATAATGGATGGATGGATGGATGGAGCTCTCTGGCAACAGTGATCAACAGTGGTTACATCTGGTGCCATTCAAAGAGTAATACTATGACTTTATTCTCATAATATTATGATTTTACTCTTGTAATACTACAACTTTATTGTTGTGATAATATGACTTTATTCTTGTAATACTACAGCTTTATTATTGTAATATTATGACTTTACTCTCAAAATATTATGAGTTTATCATAATATGACTTTATTCTCATAATATTATGACTATTCTCGCAATGTTAAAACTTTATTCTCGTAATATTATGACTTAAGTAGTATTATGACTTTATTCTCGTAATATTCTGACATTATTCTAATAATATTATGACTTAATTCTTGTAATACTATGACTTCATTATTGTAATATTATGAGTTTATTATTGTAATATGACTTAATTCTCATAACATTGTGACACTTCTCGCAATGTTAAGACTTTATTCTCGTATTATTATGACTATTCTCACAATATAATACTTTATTTAATAATACTTTATTCTCGTAATATTATGATTTTATCCATCCATCCATCCATCCATCCATCCATCCATTTTCTTTACCTGTTTATTCCATTTTGGGTCACGGGAGTCGCTGGTGCCCATGTCCAGCAATCACTGTGCGAGGGGCGGGGTACACCCTGGACGGGTCGCAAGTCCATCACAGGGCCACATAGAGACAAACGAGACAAACAACCATTCACTCTCTCACTCACACCTAGGGACAATTTAGAGTTACCAATCAGCCTAACATGCATGTTTTTGGACTGTGGGAGGAAACCGGAGTACCCGGAGAAAACCCACGCATGCACGGAGAGAACATGCAAACTCCACCCAGAAAGGCCCCTGGACCTGGGTTTGAACCAAGGACCTGCTTGCTGAGAGGCAGCAGCTCTACCAGTTGTGCCACCGTGCTGCCCATTATGACTTTACTCTAGTAATATTATGGCTTTATTCTTGTGATATTATGACTTTATTGTCTTAATCATATGACTATTGTCATAATATGACTTTATTCTCCTAATATTATGACTTTATTCTCATAATATTATGACTATTCTCGTCATATGACTTTATTCTCGTAATATTCTGACCTTATTCTCATAATATTATGACTTTATTCTTGTAATACTATGACTTTATTATCGTAATATTATGAGTTTATTATCGTAATATGACTTTATTTTCATAACATTATGACTATTCTCGCAATCTTAAGACTTTATTCTCATAATATTATGACTTTAGTAATATTATGACTTTATTCTCGTAATATTATGACTTTAGTAATATTATGACTTTAGTAATATGATGACTTTATTATAACATTATGACTATTCTCTCAATGTTAATATTTTATTCTCGTAATATTATGACTTTAGTAATATTATGACTTTCGCAATATGATGACTTTATTATAATATTATGACTATTCTCACAATATTATGACTTTATTCTCGTAATAGTATGACTTTAGTAATATTTTGACTTTATTATCATAATATTACGACTATTCTCGCAACGTTAAGACTTTATTCTCATAATATTATGACTTTAGTTATATTATGACTTTATTATCATAATATTATGACTATTCTCACAATATTATTACTTTATTCTCGTAACATGATGACTTTACTCTAGTAATATTATGGCTTTATTCTTGTGATATTATGACTTTATTGTCATAATATGACTATCCTCTTAATATGACTTTATTCTCCTAATATTATGACTTTATTCTCCTAATAATATGACTTTATTCTTGTAGAATTCTGACTTTATTCTCATAATAATCTGACTTTATTCTCATATTATGACTTTATTTTTGTAATAATATGACTTTATTCTTTCAATATTCACTTAATTATTGTAATGTTATGACTTTATTCTCATAATAGTATGACTTTATTTTTGTAATACTATTACTTTATTCTTCCAATATTCACTTAATTCTCGTAATGTTACAACTTTATTCTCATAATGTTATGACTTTATTTTTGTAATGCTACAACTCCATTATCATAATATTATTACTTTATTCTTGTAATACTATGACTTTATTATTGTAAATTATGACTTTATTCTTGTATTATGACTTTATTCTCATATTATTATGACTTTATTCTTGTAATACTGCAACTTTATTCTTGTAATATTAGGATTTTATACTTGTAATACTATGACTTTACTCTCGTAAATTATGACTTTACTCTCATAATATTATGACCTCGTTGTAATAATGTAGCTATTCTTATAATATGACTTTATTCTCTTAATATTATTACTTTATTCTTGTAATATTATGACTTTATTCTCATAATATTATGATTTTGTTCTCATAATATTTTGGGCTTTATTCTCGTAATATTATGACCTCATTGTTGTAAAAAGTAACTATTCTCATAATATGACTTTATTCTCTTAAAATTATTACTTTATTCTTGTAATATTATGACTTTATTCTCATAATATTATGATTTTGTTGTCATAATACTACAATTTTATTCTTGTAATATTATGACTATTCTCTTAATATTATGACTTTATTTAATAAAAAATGACTTTACTGTAATAATATTATGACTTTATTCTTGTAATATTATGAATTTATTCTTGTAATATTTTTACTTTATTGTCTTTATTGTCATGCAAATTTATTTTCGTAATTTTATGACTTTGTTCTCGTAATGTAATCCCCCCCCCTCCCCCTTAGTGTGGGCCTAATACTCTGTTGTAATGTAGAAACTTCCTAATGGCAACTTTGTTTATCTAATGAAAAGTCCATTATTATTTTTATTTCAGGAAATGCTGAACTTGTCAGGAAAATATTTATATACTGTATAAGTTCACAAATAAATGGCAAAATAAATACAATTTTTTTAATGTACACAATGACCAT